GCTGTCAGCGTGGGCACATGGGCACACTTGGCTGTCAGCGTGGGCACATGGGCACACTTAGCTGTCAGCGTGGGCACCAGCCTGGGCACCTGGGCACATTTAGCTGTCAGCGTGGGCACACGGGGACACTTAGCTGTCATTGTGGGCACATGGGCACACTTAGCTGCCAGTGTGGTCACATGGGCACACTTAGCTGTCAGTGGGCACACGGGCACACTTGGCTGTTGGCATGGGCACACGGGCACACTTGGCTGTTGGCATGGGCACATGAGCACACTTAGCTGTCAGCGTGGGCACATGGGCACACTTAGCTGTCAGCATGGGCACCAGCTTGGGCACCTGGGCACACTTAGCTGTCAGTGTGGGCACACGGGCACACCTGGCTGTCAGCGTGGGCACCCGGGCACAGCAGGGCAGTGCTCATGTCCTGCTTCTTCCTCCTGAGCGGTGGATGCTAGCGATGCTCAGGAGCAGACTGAGCGTGCATACTTACCGCAGCTGGCGGGGTCCTCGTCGGAGCCGTCCTGGCAGTCCAGGTCCCCGTCGCAGGCCCAGCGCCGGGGGATGCAGTGTCCGTTGCGACACTGGAAGTTGGACGCCTCACAGGTATGGTAGACGGCTGCCGGCCACGAGAAGAGAGAACAGTCAGCGCCCTGCTCTCGCTCCCCCTGGACCTCCAGGAGCTGCCGAGGAGGGGCTGCCTGAGTGAGTGGTGGGCGCAGCCTCCCGCAGGGCGGCACCTGAGGCGGTGGGATCGCCATGTTACACAAGCAGAGGGACCTGCTAAAAGCTGTGCTTCCACCACCAGGGGGAGCGCCATTCCCCTGCGGCAGCTGGAACGGGCCTGGGGACTCAGACACATGCCCACAGGCACAGGGGAGCACCGATGGCACCAGGCTGCCCAGGGCCAGAGCCCGTGCTTCCACTCGTCTTCGCTACTTTACTTCTCACGTAACCCCTCGCTCCTGTCGGCCCCAACGACCGGAGACTCCGTGGCAGGTGCAGGAGCCCAGCCCCAGCCCCGCCCTGTCCGGGCCCGTGTCACCCACTGTCCTGCCATCCAAGGACCTGGACGCTCAGAAAGGCCGTGACTTTAGATTCCAAATAAACTGCCCCGTTTCAAACGTGGAAAACCTTACGTCCAAAAGCATAACAGATTTTCCACCATCACAAGGAAAGCAAGCCCAGAACCGGGACTTGGCTACCTTTCTGGACTGTCAAGAGCAACGTCTGCCAGGCAACCAGGGTAGCTGGTACCCACGGCAACCATCACAGAACGGAGGCAAGGGGGACGGCGGGCGGGCGGTCAGTGAACAGCCTCCTGGGCACGCGGGGCTGCGGCCACAGCGAGTCATTTAGAAATATCTCAAAGCCTTGGGCGAGGACCAGGTCAGGCCCTAGCTGGTTTGGCTGAATGGACAGAGCATCGGTCCCGTGTTCAATTCCGGTCAAGGGCACATGCCCGGGTTGCAGGCTGGATCCCCAGTGGGGGCGTGCAGGAGGCAGCTGATCCATGATTCTCTCTCGTCACTGATGTTTCTCCCTCTCTCTCCTGCTCCCTTCCTCTCTGAAAGCAATACAAATATATATATTTTTAAAAGCCCAGGTCAAATGTAGACGCTCAGCCTCAAATCCAGCCGGCACCCCTCCTGCCCTCTCCATCAGCCCCGCCCCACCTCGGGAGGGCTCCTGTCTGCCCGTTACTGCATGGGAGCCGGCCGCCCTCTTCACCACGGCTTCACGCGGCCTAACCGAGCTGGACAGGCTCGCTGCCCGTTTCTCTACGTGGCTGGGATGTCTTCACAACAGGAGGAGCAACAACAACAACAACAACAAACAGGCCGTGGGCGCACACGGCAGTGACTGGTCCAGGCGAGATGGTTCGCAATACGCTGCCCACGGGTGGGAACATGGGTTCCAATGCTCTCGGGAATGTCTCCTGGATCCGAGGCTGTTTGCAATCGTCTGAAATACAGACAGCTTGACTTTGCAAGCCAGGTGGCCTGTCACTGCTGTCCTCACATCTCTCTGAAGGTCATGTTGCGCCTGACAGCATGCACCCAGACCACACGCCTCAACACTCGACTTCGGCACTCAGATCCACTGCAGGCCCTTAAAGCAGACCTGCCTCTGGGAAGAGGAGTACTGTGAGGCATGTGGCAGGAGCCTTTGCCCCAGGAACAGCCATTGCCCGGAAACATTTTGATTTATTGGCTTTACAAGCCTGACAGCCTTAAACAAGTCCCTCACCAAAGCCTCGCTCATTCTCATAAGACGCTTGCAGGAACTCATTTCCATACGGACCTGGTTGTTGTTGTGCGGCCCATGCACTTCATGTCTAACTGAAACCATTCTGGAGGGCTCACGGGTTTCCAGCAGGAATTCTGAGAGGCGAGTGGAGACCGCCAGACCCCACAGCGGCCGAGCGCAGAGCCTGACGGGTCGGCGCGATCTCCGCGTGCAAGGACTCACCTTCCTGACTCCCCGTCTTCCGAGGAACTACGAGCTCCCCGAGACTGAGGGTCCGGTAAGCAGTGTGTTTAATGACAGGGTGAGAGAAACTGACTTTGATACAGACTGAAGAGTCTGGGGAAGGTAAAGAGCCATCCTCCGCATGGCAAGACGACTGACGGTCAGACTCGGAAGAGCTGCCGGAGGAACAATCACGAAGCCAGGACACACCGGGTTCTCCCAGAGGCCACTGTCCCACCCTCGGCAGGTCCTCTCCACACCCCCTCACAGGTGAACCAACCACGGCAGGCAGGGCAGCGTGATCAGACGGTGAGAGAAGCTGGGCCTCAGCACCACAAAACCCTGCTCCGCCGGGACGTGAATGAGGGGACAACGCTAATGTCAACACAACTTGAACGGTGATGACATAAAAAGCTACACAAAGCATCGAGGGCGCTGACATAAAGGGTCTGAAAGAGACCCAGACAGGAATTCCAGAGATGAAAACAGGACATAGAAACAGCTCGGCTGGTGTGTGGGAAGCAGGTTGGATTTAGCTGGAAAGAGAACTGCTGAACTAGAAGGGGAAGCTGAGAGGGAAAGGAAATTCCAGCAGACGGAGAGACAGCACAGACTCGGGAGGCGGGAGCGACAGAACAGAGTGCGGCTGCGGCCACGGTGGATGAGCCCTGAGAGAGCAGGAGACACCGCAAGAAGACGAGGCTGCCATGTCCCAGAACAAGGAGAACGGCAGATCCTCGTCGTCTGGAAAGGAAGCCAGCAGCATAGAAATGATGCCACACCTCGCAGGTGACGCTGCATTGCAACAGCCCACCCTCACACGCACACAAAACGAACGCTGACGAGAACTGGAGATGGTGCCAATCACGCTCAGCAGGAACGCTCAGGAGGACTGACCTCAGCCCGGAGGAGGCAGAAAGACTCCATGGAAGCACGTACGGAAGGGACTGCGCACCAGGACAGGCAGGTGCACCTGCCCTCAGGACCGAGAGTGAAACGGAGGCGTGATTACACCAACAGAGCCTCAAAGAGTTCACCGCTCACTCAGGAACACTGCGGGGCCACGGGGAGCACTGGTTACAGAAGCAAAGGTAACTGGAGAAGAGGGAGGCGCCCTAGTGAGTTATCACTAAAAAATAATAGGAATTACTAACTGTAGGGCTTTTGAATTGTAGAACGAAACACGAAGTACTCAGTGTTTTAAGTGCTAAGTACTGGCACTGCGTGCAGCGATCAGGATGGAAGCATTCTGAAGCCCTTGCAGGTCCGGGACAGGAAGTTGGTGAAGAACACACAGAAAGTAACAGGTAAAAGCACACAAGTCAAATGTTTAAGGTCACAGCCGATGCCGAGGGGTGGGAAGCGCCTCAATTCCACGGAAAGCGAAGGGGGGGAGCGGAAAGCAAGGAGCACGCCCCGCACAGACCAGCAGGCAGCGGGGCAGCAGGTCGGCTGCCAACCTATTTTCTGGGCTCTGCACCATTTACTTGGCGAGGAAGTGAAGCGCCAGGCTCACACCTCAATGAGCTCACACCTGACCGCCCCCCCCGCCCCACATGGGCGGCAGGAAGGAGAACCGTCGGGAGGCAGTGGAAGCACAGCCAGGGCCGGAGGGCAGTGTGGAGCTGGGTGCGGGGAAGTCCACAGGAGGCACCGAAGTCCTGTTCATTCCTCCCCCACGTCCCCAGCTCTGCCCCCCCTCCCCAAGCTGCATACGCATTCCTGCACTCAGCCAGCCACAAAAGCTGAGTGATCACAGGAGGAGCCCGTTCCTCAGCAGAACCAGAACAGCACCTCGACCTCACACCACAGGATCAGCCTTCGCTGATGTTCTCGTGTTCTTTCCAGGTTCATTTTTAATGAACGCTCACCCCAAAGAGATGCAAGCACCGTTTACGTTCTCAAAGTTGGGGAACCCATGATGCCCCGAGATTCAGAAACATGAGCTGGTTCAGTGCCCTCCACACATGGCCCAGACGAGGGGCCGGCGGGGAGCTGCTTACTGCTGGTCCTGAGGGAAGCGCAGCTCGAGCCCGCACGCCAACCAACGCCGTGCACTCGGGACACGTCAGTTCACAGAACGCTCTCGCAGGAGACCCCTCAGTGCAGGCGGGGCGGTCTGCCTTCGTGCTGAGCGGCTGGGCCAGCTTGTGGAGCAGCACCGATGGGTGGTGTCTGGGCCTGTTTCTCAGAGCCCAGGCGCTGGGCCCCCGCAGGCTCCCATGAGGAGCGGAGCAGGACCCAGGACCCAGGACCGCGTGCGGACACTGACCCGTGCAGTTGGCTTCGTCGGACCAGTCCCTGCAGTCGTTGTCGCCGTCGCACACCCAGGAGGCGCGCACGCACAGGCCCGAGCTGCAGTTGTACTCGTCGTCCCGGCACTGGTGCGTCTCTGCAGGTGAAACCGGGGGTGAGCACAGCGCGCGGCTTCAGCCCCTGCGGCCGAGTCCCGAGGGTCACAGTGCACCCAGCCCCATCGACGGCCCCCGGCAGCAGGCGAGAACTAACCAGGGAGGGAGGCACCGAGGAGGCCCGCTGGGCCAGTGCCCTGAGACCCACCCCCTCAGCGCCTGCCTCTGGGAGGAGCGTCCATCAGCTCCGTGCACTGGACAAACCTTCATTCCCACGCCTGTTGATGGGGAGGAGGGAAGCACCCTCTAGCTGCCCAGAAAGTGGAATTAAAGACACAGAAGCTTCCAGAGACAGAGCCTGTGGCCGCAGAAAAGGAGCAATGAACAGTCCCGAGGGAGCTTAGCTCCGGGAGGGTCAGTGCTGAACCTGCCCACAGAGGGGGCTGGGGCCGCTGTGAGCAGAGCCCAGGGCTTGGCTGCGGGCTGTCCCGGAGGGAGGGGGGCAGCCGGCCTGCCAGGACCTGGAAGGAGGCTATGCCCCGGGACGGTGTCCTGAGCGTAGCAGTGAAGCAACGCCTTGAAATGGAATTTTAGCCGGGCCGGCGTGGCTCAGTGGTTGAGCGTCGACCTGTGAACCAGGAGGTCCCGGGTTCGATTCCCCATCAGGGCAGATGTCCGTCGGGCTGTCCCGGAGGGAGGGGGGCAGCCGGCCTGCCAGGACCTGGAAGGAGGCTATGCCCCGGGACGGTGTCCTGAGCGTAGCAGTGAAGCAACGCCTTGAAATGGAATTTTAGCCGGGCCGGCGTGGCTCAGTGGTTGAGCGTCGACCTGTGAACCAGGAGGTCCCGGGTTCGATTCCCGGTCAGGGCAGATGTCCGGGTTGCAGGCTCAATCTCCAGTGTGGGGCATGCAGGAGGCAGCCGATTGATGATTCTCTCTTATGTTCATCTCTTACTCCCTCTCGGAAATCAATAAAAACACATTAAAAAAGAAGAAACGGAATTTTAAAACAGCTTCATCAACAGTAGCAGCCAAGCCTCTGGCCCAGCGTGGCGGCCTCGCTGGCCTTCCTCAAGAGCCAGGCTGCTCGGGAAGCTGGAGACTCGGTTACTCGTTGGAAAGGCTGGGCCTGTGGAGGGACCACGGCCCTCCGGCAGGTTGAGGACCCGCTAACGGGCGGGGATCTGAAGGTGCTGTGGCTTTAATGGTCAAACACGTGCCAGTGAGGGAGGGAGATGCTGCCAGCAATGCAACACGCAGCTTCCTTCCCACCAGAGCAGAACTCCTGAGCACTGAGCCCTCCAGTGTCGAGGAGATGGGCGGCAGGAAGGGAAAACAGCTGTGCATCCCACAGACTGTTCTGAACTTCATATTTCTACAAAGATGAAAAAATTCATGTAATTCCCCTCAAAAATGCTCTGAGAGGCAGACAGGAGCCTAGTCCCTGTGAGTCAGCACCCTGCTGCCGAGCAGGCCCTGCCAGACGCAAGCTCAGCCCCAGAACTGGCTCTCTCTCTCCCCCTTCCTCTCTGAAATCAATAAAAAAAAAAAAAAGAAAAAGAAAAATAACACAGTTCACAGAGTGCAGATATGTGTCCTCAGGAGGCTGACCTCCCAGCCACCCAGAGGTGAGGGCCGTCGGCTCGGCTCTGACAAGCACTGAGCTCATCAGAACCCCCTCCTCGCTGTTGCGGCCACGCTCGCGGCATCCCTGCGCGGTGA